TACAAAGATACATGTCATTACCTGCAGTCATTATCAGACATATGATCATTTCCACTTCCAGTGTGGCTCTCTAAAGTTTGCTTTCTGGCTCCACTGCACATGCCGGTGCTAAACATCAGCTCAGTTAGTTACTGCAGCCAACAATTTCATTTTTATTCCACTTTTCTATACTGACTGGGACTTCCTTTGACATGTCTGACACTTAAAAGCACCTCATTTGCATATCAGGTCGAGAGGTAGCACTCACTTCTTGTTCTGTGCATGGCAATTTACATAAATTCCAGGAATTTTTCGATGCATACCCTGCTATCAGCATCACATGAGGTTCTGCACGCTCCAGTTCACAAACTGCTGCGACGGCTGCTCTGAGGGGGGGAGGGGGGGGGTGGCTGCTGCGGCTAGTCAGTGGGCTCAAGGTAACCAAAAATAGCATCAGAGCAGAACCAACAAAAAGTCTGGTCTAAGTCTAATCTTTTTTTGGAGGTGGTAAAATATAACTTAAATACCAATATTAAAAAACTCTTTTAAATGTTTAAACTTTTGTACCATGACAGATTTCCAACTGCTAGAAAGAACAGTCGTGTGTGTGTGTGTGTGTGTGTGTGCCACGTGTGTGTGTGTGTGTGTGTGTGTGTGTGTGTGTGTGTGTGTGTGTGTGTGTGTGTGTGTGTGTGTGTGTGTGTGTGTGTGTGTGTGTGTGTGTGTGTGTGTGTGTGTGTGTGTGTCTGTGTGTGTGTGTGCGAGCGTGGTTGTGTGCGTGCGTGTACATATGTTTATATATTTATATCTATTTGGATATGTATTTTTACTGTTGATATGTATATTCATTTAAGGATGTGTGTTAGTTAGTTATTTTTTATTTATGTTTTTAGTTATTGATATTTATACATATATTGTTTATTTTGTATGTCTCCTTTACAAAACCCTGATAACCTGCTGCTGCGTCAATATAGTACATTCTTACTGTTGACATGTTTAGTTATTTAGTTAATTAATTTATATACATGTTTTTGTTTTTTTTAACCTTTACAATACCTTGATAACCTGCTGTGACAAAAATAAATCCCAATTGGTATCAAAAGAGTTCATTCATCCTATCCTTATGATAGATATGCTAGCATAAGGAGGATGACTACCCTGGCTTCAACAGCAGACACTTGGGAGGCCCGAAGGATAATATGATAATCCCTTTTATGATAATGCCTATAATACCATGTGAGGAAGTCATGAATACATTTGCAAGGTATAATCTAAAATAAGAAAGCACCTCAGACAGGATTTCATCGTGGTGCTAATGCTGACCTGAGATCATTTATAGCGCTGCAATCTGAATGTGATCCTGTGCATGTACAGTATATGTGCATGTATGTGGGGGAGAAACAGAGAGAGCATGTAAGCGCAGATAGCACAAAACATTGCGACAGCTCAGGCTATAAATGTCCAGGGGAGGATATACTGGACTAGTTTTACGAGGGTAATGGGAGGAGGGGCCGCTGGAAGAAGAGATACCCAGGAATGAACATCTCATCTGGGATGAAAAACAGCTCGCTCTGGGACTTCAGTAGCTCACCTTCCACTCTTATGCACAGGGACTGCATGTGTGTGGGGAATTAAAATGTGCCCTCTGAGTGAATGAGTGAGTGAGTGAGTTCACTTCAGCCTGCTCTACAAAGGCATGAGTGGTGTAATAATTAAGAGGCCTGGGGCCTCATTTATAAAGCGATATACGCTCAAAAAATGGCGTACGCCATTTTCTACGCAATGTTTGCGATTTATAAAATACTAACTTGATGGGAAAACGTGCGGTCCTCCACGCAAACTCTAACCCATGCGTACGCACTAAGCACAACAACGGGAGAGACGAGAAACTGCGACACCGTTGGCAGAAGGAAGAATGGAGATAAATATGTGGAAATAATACCATAAACAAAATGTTACCTCTCATTTATCATATGAAGAATTCATTTTCAAACATTGATTAAAGCCAATCTTAAAATGATTAAACAAACACCTGTTTGAGACTCGGTGCACACAAAAACATAACTTGGAGAAATAAATAAATACGGATATGTTATTGAAAACCATCTCGAATATGTTGTGTTAATGTTATGAAATGTTTTCTCATAAATGATGCGGTAAGCAGGAGGACAGCATTACTTTAAACTGACGCCGTGTTGCATTTCTATAGGTTGTAGATACGAGCATGGTTTTATATACTATCACGTTTAATCGTGTTTTATGCCGCGCCGTTTGCCAAGACTTGATAAGTCGCTCATAAAACACAGGAGGTATGGAAGCTAAGAACACCATATGTGGTCAATTGTACAGCGAATATAACACAACAAATTAGTTGTATTTCCTTTAACTGGTGGATATAGGCAGGGCCGCCTTAATGCACGGGCTGACCTGGGCTGAAGCCCAGGGGCCTACGGAGATCAGGGGCCTATCATGAGCCAATAAAAAAGTTAAAAAAATTAAAAGTTTTTTATTTCGGATGTTTTTAAACAACATTTAAATAAACAAAGTCTTGGCTTTCAGAATATGAAACTTTTATTTCCAAAATCACACAATAAATACATTTTTGAAGCTTGTAAAGGGAAGATGACAGCTCTCACTCGCCACTCACTCCGGCTGAAATTATGAATGTAAGGCGTATAGTAATCATAGATAACACGGCAGGGTCCATTACAGTTTGTTTTCATCTGGTTTCAAATAAACAAAGTCTTGGATTTCAGAATATTAAACTTGTTTCGGCAAATTCAGATGATAAATACAACGTTGAAGCTTGTAACGGCATAATTACAAGCGGAGAACGGAGTAACTTGACGTCACAGCAGGCATAACAACAGCCGGTGTTTCTCGTAAGTGTTTTCCCCGGGAAACAAACACAATGCACGCAAACGCAAAAATACACAAACACACGTATACACACACACACTCGCGAGCTTCCCCCAGACCAGTAATCCAAACGAAAATATCTTCCCTCCGTAGTATTTTGATAATTTGCTCCGCTAATCAATCAGATCGATGGATTCCAGAGATTTTTCTCAAAAATTATGACTCCGTAACTGTCAGTGGGCACCACTTCACAGCGAATCAGAATGAGAATATGTTTCACATGTGACTTATTCAAATTGCGAGTGATTGAGTGACAGATGAAGGTTGTTTAGGAGAAAAAGTTTGAGAAGAAAAACTTTGAGAGTGGCGCTCGGGAAAGGAAATTGTTGAGGGAAAAGGAGTTTCGAGACAAGCAGCTATTACAAAAAATGCCGAAGCTTACAGGTTATTTTAAACCTGTAGGCCAGGATGAGGAGGAAGGACAGATTAGTTTTGTACCGAGCGGTAGCGGTGCCGGCCGCGGGGCCTCGGAGCCAAGTAGGCCGTCTGGTTCTGATAGCGATGGAATAGCGGGAGAGGAAAAACAGACAGGAGGGATGTTGGAGGAGATGGAGAGGACGACGAGGACTTGCTACGTGGAGGGGAGCCAACGGCAACCAGACAAATACATGAGGGAGGTCCGATACGTCACTCATCTGGAGGAGAGGACCAGGCGCGCGTAGAGCAGAGTGGAGAAGTGCGATCACAGAGCCTGCCGAGGCTATAAATGACTTTGATTTGTTGTTTAAATAGGGGGCCTACAAAACCTATCAGCCCCAGGGCCTGATGGCAGGTTAAGGCGGGCCTGGATGTAGGGTTGCTGCGGGGGGGTTGAGACGCACAGGCTGCAGTGGAGACGCTGCGCACAGCTGATCGACAGCTGGAACACAAACCACCAAATACAAAAACATAATTCAGATCCAGTCGTCATGACTCCACTCCGGAGGGATTCCCCGATCACTTCTTACAGTCTCTCATCAAGGGGGCGTCTCCTGTCCCCGGTACAAACACACTGCCTGAGGAAGGCTATGTGTATTGTTTTTGTCATTAACCTTTTTCGGGCCATTTATTTATTTATTTTGGTGACGATCCGACCTCCATGCTGCTACTCTGGTTCAAACTGCATCCACCAAACAATATGATTTATCTCCACCTCCCCAAAATAACCCACATCTGACACGGCGTGAGATGTCTTTTTTAGCTGTTCTGTCGTCATTTCCTGCTATCTTCTTCATAAAGTCAGTCAAAATGAATGAATGGGCGTTTCTTTGACTATTTATAGGCAAATATGGGCGTTACGTGAAGCCCGCAAAAGCTGCACCGCATTTCGAGTCGGTTGTGATTTATAAAGGGAAACCGGCGTAGGAAGTGCCGTACGCACTTTCCTTGCCGGTACGCAATGTTTGGTGAATCGGGAAGTGGCGGAAAATGTATGGACCTATTTTTCGGATTTCTACTACGTAAGCAACCTTCCCACGTGAATCCTACGCACGGCGTTATACATGAGGCCCCTGAACACCCGGTCAGCGCGTCTATTATTGGTTTAAGCTGCGCCCACTGGACCTAAATAAGCACTGATTTGATCAACTGGGAGACAATTAATCGTTTTACTTTGTTGTGTGTCATTAATTCATACAACTGCTTTTGAAAAATTAAGGTTTAAGGAAGTCTAGTTTGTAGATTTATCAAACACCATCAGTTTTTTCTTTATCCTTTTGGCCTTGATGTAAGCCTCACATCCTGATATCCGTAATAAATACATTCCCATCCATCCATCCATCCATCTTCTCCCGCTTATCCGTGGTCGGGTCGCGGGGGTAGCAGTTCCAGCAGAGAGCCCCAAACTTTATTTTCCCTGGCGACATCAACCAGCTCTGACTGGGGGATCCCAAGGCGCTCCCAGGCCAGCGAAGAGATATAATCCCTCCACCTGGTCCTAGGTCTACCCCTTGGTCTCTTCCCAGCTGGACATTCCCAAACAACAACATATTATTCACTTTTCAAGGGTAACTTGCTTTTTTCTGAGATGCTTTTGTTTGTTTTTGACATACACAAGTTTCCATGTTCAATATTTGTATTCTCAACAGTCACAAGATAATACAATGCCAATAAGTACACTTAAGACTAAACATTGCAAATACCACAGAACAAAAACAGATGACACAAAATGTAGTTAGTTGCGGTCGCACATTGTGCAGCAACTACTGTTAATGTGAGCACTTAATTTGTTATATTTTTACACAACACTCGACTTAGTACATATTGTACTATACCTCACGGGACCTACATTGTAATGGCATCCAAGGTTTCCTTTTGCCACTATAGAGCGGGGTTGACGACACGCAATCCAAGACAATAAGCAGCCGAAGGTTTTCAGTCAAAAAATGTAATTTATTAACAAAAAAGTATTGACTTAAATAGTCTCAAAATAACAAATCTAAATCAATATTTCGGCGATATACTTTCCTATATAAACTATACTTTGCAGTCCAATTTGCAACACTAATCTCTGTTTACAATTTGCGGTCGAAAAACTGTTCCGCTCCCCGTCTCATCAGGTCTCCGAGCACGCCGGCTGTCCTCAATTAAATACACACCGGAAGGTACAAGGAAACAGATCATATTTACGATATAAAATTAACAATCATTTCCTCAAAACATATTCACCATGGCAATATAAATCATTTTCCATCATTAAATCATTTATCAAATTATGAATCGAAATAATAACTTTGTGGCTCTAACATACTGGCCCCTAATTGTTGACGCAGTAGCAAAACAATTAATACATTATAATAGAGCCAAAAAACAAGCAGTTACTCAAAATGTAACTGTCACCAATATACAATCATTGTCATAGTTCATAGTCCAATGTTTGTGTTAGGTGTGTTTGCATGAGTTCAAGAGGAAAAGGGGGGGGCATGTGTGTGATACTGGGTGTCAGAGGTTACTAGCACATGACACCTTGTGTTCAATCAACTGCTTCCAGGAGCAGACAGAGCTTGTCAATTGGTCGCTGTAAGGTGCTACCCTTGGTTTTCACCAAGACACTTCGGACAAGCCCTTTCGACCCTGACAGTGTCTTTATCACCCGGCCCAGTTGCCAGGAATTTCTTGGTGCAGTGTTATCCACGATGACGACGAGATCATTGGGGCGAAGGTTCCGTTTGGGGCTGTGCCATTTGACTCGCTGTTGCATGATTGGGAGATATTCTCTTATCCATCTCCTCCAGAAGAGATCTGCGAGGTATTGTGCCTGTCTCCATCTCCTCCGTGAGTACAAGTCCTCCTTGTGAAAGAGTCCAGGTGGCATAATCGGTTTTGTCTTTAGCAGAAGGAGGTGATTTGGCGTGAGGGGTTCGAGATCGTTTGGGTCACTTGAAACTGTAGTCAATGGTCTGTCATTCATGATGCTCTCAACTTCGCACAAAGCTGTCTGTAGAGTCTCATCATCCAATCTCTGTTCTTTTAGAACGGAACACAGAATCTTTTTTACAGGTCTGATGAGCCTCTCCCAAACTCCACCATGGTGGGCTCCATATGGCGGATTAAAAGTCCATTTTACTCCGTCCCCGAGTAATGCATTTTGAATCTTGTGTTGATTCAGGTCTTTAAGAGCAGCTCTTAGCTCTTTCTGTGCTCCCACAAAGTTTGTGCCGTTGTCGGTCCTGATGCTTGTCACCTGACCTCTGCAACATATGAATCTGCGCAAAGCATTGATGCAGGAGTCAGTGTCCAATGAGCTCGAAACTTCCAGATGTATGGCACGACTCACAAGGCAGGTGAAGATCACTCCCCAACGTTTTACATTTGCTCTGCCTCGTTTAACCTCCAGGGGTCCAAAGAAGTCGATACCAACATGAGTAAAAGGTGGTAGATCTGGAGACACCCGATCCTCTGGGAGGTCAGCCATTTTCTGCTCTCCAACTGTGGCTAGCATTCTTTGGCAGAAAACACAGGCTCTGATTATCTTTCTGGCTGCCGAGTTAGCACGAGGCAACCAGAATCTTTTATTTAGTCTTGAGAGCATGTGGCTTCTCCCCGAGTGTCCAATCTGCTGATGGATGTGGCCCAGGATCAGTTTGGATACAGTAGAGTCTCTGGGCAGGATAATGGTGTTCTTCAGATCCATTGGCATTGCTGATTTGCTAATTCGTCCTCCCACTCTTAGCATGCCTTCAACTAAGATTGGGTCCAGCTTCCTGATAGAGCTGCTTGCTCTTACTTGCCTTCCCTTCTCCAAAAGTGCAAGTTCCTGAGAGAAGTGACGTCTTTGCTCAGAGTGAATTATTGACCTTTCAGCTTCTCTAATGTCCTCCACAGACAGATGTTGTGATCCAAATGTCAACTTTAGCTTGTTCATTTTGTCCTTTAAGGATTTCAAAAGAGTCCCATCTGGGGCAAGGTCAGCCTTTGCAGATTTCCTTCTTTGATTTAGAAGAAGAATTCCCCTTAATTTAAGTATCCAAGCAACCCCTCTCTGCAGTCTGCTCCATGATGAGTAATACTCAAACAGTTTGCTGGTTGGGTTGGTTTCGTGGACACTCAAACTGTTAACTGCTACGTCCTTTCTAACCTCTGGGTCCTCTGATGGAATAAGGCCCAGGTTCTTAGGTGTTTTTGGCCAATATTCCTTTTCCTTTTCCAGATACTTAGGTCCTGTTCTCCACCTTGATGTCTTTAGAAAGTCTTCTACATGCAGCCCACGGGATGCGTCGTCGGCAGGGTTGTCTATGGAGCTCACATGCCTCCACTGCTTCTCGTGAGACAGGTCCTTGATCACTGAAACTCTGTTTGCCACAAATGTGTGATGTCGTTTAGTCTGGTTGCTGATGTATCCGAGGACAGAGGTGCTATCTGTCCAGAAGGTTGAGTCGTTGAGGTCCACTTTAAGCTCCCTTTTCAACATCCTGTCCACCTTTACTGCAAGTGTTGCTGCAGTAAGCTCCAATCTGGGAATAGTGATCTGTTTGAGTGGAGTCACTCTGGATTTCCCCAAAATAAATGGAACATGGACCCTTCCCATACTGTTTGTAAAGCGAAGATAGCTGGTGGTGCTGTAACCTTTTTCGCTTGCGTCACAGAAGTGATGAAGCTCTGCAGTCCTGATTGGTCAAAAGTTCTCAGGTTTCATACACCTGTCCACTTGAAATCTGCTAAGCTGTTCCAACTCTGTGATCCATTTCTGCCATTGTTTTAAGTATTCTTCTGGGATGATTTCATCCCATCCACACTTTATCCTGCATAGCTCTTGGAGGATCTGCCTGGCTTTAAGGATAAATGGGGAGAGGAATCCTAATGGGTCGTAGATGGAACTGACTGTAGAGAGGATCCCTCTCCTGGTAAGAGCTCTGTTTTTGATATTGACTTTGAATATGAAGGAGTCTTTCTCTGTATCCCATTGGATTCCAAGTGCTCTTTCAATTGGCAGGTTTTCCCTGTCAAAGTCCAGATCCTTGAATAGCTTTGCTCTGTGATGCTCAGGTATACTTGCAAGCACTTCACGGTTGTTACAGACCCATTTGGTCAATGAGAAACCTCCTTTGGCGCATGCGTCTCTGAGGTCTCTGATAAGCTTAATAGCTTGTTCAACTGTGGCCACTGATTTGAGGCAATCATCAACGTAAAAGTTGGAATTGATTGTTTCAGTTACCTCTTCGTCGTACTTGAAGCTGTTGTCTTCTGCCACTTGTCTGAGAGCATAGTTAGCAATGCTAGGTGAGGACACAGCACCAAAGAGGTGGACCTTCATTCTATATGCCTCCAATGAATTTTTAGTGTCTCCATCTGGCCACCACAGAAACCTAAGGAAGTCTTTGTGCTCTCTCTGGACTTGCACTTGATAGAACATTGCCTCGATGTCCCCCATGAAAGCAATTTGTTCTTGGCGGAATCTAAGCAGAACTCCAATGAGTGTTCGCCAGGTCTGGACCTTGGAGAAGTTCCTTGTTAAGAGATGTGCCTTTGCAGGATGCAGTGCAGTCAAACACAACTCTAAGTTTGCGCTTTTGTTGATGGTAAACACCGTGGTGAGGTATGTACCATATCTGTCCATCATTCCTGTTAAGCTGTTCTGGTGGCACTCTCTCTGCATAACTCCTTTTTAACACATCCTCCATGAATGTTTTGTATTCCATGGCATATTCTGCATCCCTCTTTAGGAGATTTAGAGTACGTTGTTTTACCATTTCGTAGTTGTCAGGCATAACCATGTCCTTTTTTCGAAAAGGCAAGGGTAGGTGATAATGTCCATCCTTGAGTTCTACTGAGCTTGATGCTATCTCCATGAACCTTTTGTCTTCACCTGACATTTCCTTCTTCTCTTCATAATCTTTTTCCGAGAAGTCCTGATTGTATTGTGTGATGAGGAGATCATTCAGGTTGGCTACTGATATTCTGTTGACCATTGTGACCACAGGTCCGGATTCCACAGCAGTACAAGCGTTGAGTGGTCCATTTACCACCCATGCAAACACTGTCCTGACTGCATATGGTCCATTTCCTTGACTTCTTATTATGTCCCAAGGTTCCATTGCCTTAGGAACATCAATTCCTATTAGAAGCTCTATGTCAGCATCAATTTCTTTCAGCTGTATGTCACTTAGATAAGGCCATCTTTCCAGATCCTTTTGGGTAGGTACATTTTCTTTTGAGACAGGAATCTTACTCTGTGTGTACACCTGAGGTAGGTCAATGTAAGTACTGCCATCTAAATGTCCTATCTCCAATCCTTTGAGTTTGTAACTCTTTACAAGTCGTTCCTGACCCATTGTTCGTAGAACGACTGTCGTTTTTCGTGCTTTGGGATTCAGCTGTCTCATTAGATTCTCTGTGCAGAATGATGCTGAACTGCCGGGATCAAGAAAAGCATAGGTTGAGATAAACTTATCTCCTTTGTGAACCTTGACTCGAACAGGCACTATGGCTAGGGCACAATCCCTACCGGCCCCGAGACAAGTGCACTGTTGACCCAAGCTCCTTTTGTTTCAGTAGGGGGAGGCTTTTGTAGAAGTGGACTGTCAATGTGAATTATTGTTGGGTGACTCTTTTGACATGTCAGCCTTTTCCTACAGTTCCATATGACCCCTCATCAAACATCCAAAACAATAACCATTAATCTTCAAAAAGTCAACCTTTTCCTTGTGTGGATGATGTTTGAACTGATGGCAATCAGTCAGCACGTGCTTGCCTTTACAAAAGTAGCAAAAAGAGGCAGGACTGCTCCCTTGTGGCTGTTTGAAGGTGTTACGCTGCTCTGTGTTTGATGGTGCAGCGCTGCTCTCCTGATCACATGCTGCTGCGATGATGGTGGCGAAGCTGCTGCCTCTACTTTTAGGTGTTCTGTGGCTCATGGGTTGGCTCCTAGTGGCCATCCTTGGGCTAGAGATGTGGCGATCCTGTATATCCCCAAATAATGGGTCCAGGAGTATTTTAGCTTGTTTTTCCATAAGCTCCACAAGGTCACGAAATCTAGCTCTCTCCTTTGTTCTCTGTAATATATCATAAGCCACTGTCCGCCATTTTTCTCGCAGTTTGTAAGGGAGTTTAGATATTATTGATCTTAGATTGGAAGGAATATCTAGTTCATCCATGTACTTTAAATCTTGCATAGCATTGCAGCATCCTCTTAAATACATTGCATATGCCTGAAGTGCTTTGCCATCATCCGGTCTAATTGATGTCCAGTTCATTGCCTTTTCCAAATAAGCGCTGGTTACTTTGATCTCGTCCCTAAAGTGCTCCTTTAATAGCTGTTTGGCTTCTGTGTAACCTCTTTGGGTATCCATATGCAGGCAGCTGCGAACGAGATCTTTGGGCTGGCCGGAAGTGTACTGGTCGAGAAAGTAGAGCCTGTCATGACTGCTAGCGGTTTTATCCTCAATAAGGTGTTCGAAAGCTCGTATAAAGGACTGATATTCAAGTGGATCACCATCAAACACTTGTATCTCCATTGTTGGTAACAAGGTAAGTTTCTGCTGCATAATGATGAGGTCAGCAATATCTCTCTGTCTCTGTATAACAGTGTCCAGGTTATCATGGGTTTCATTGCGTTGGGTGGAGCTATGCATTGTGGGCATTTTGAAAGGTCTAAACTGTATTGTGGATTGCTGAGGGCTGCGAAGATTAATGACAGTCCTCTGAAGTGGTGTTTTAGGCACTGCACCCAATGGCATGAACTCCATGGCTGAGATTTCAGGATCCAAAGTGTCTGTGCTTTTTTCTTTGCTTTCCTCCAGATAAGCATTCATTCCATCTTGAATTTGATCCTCCATTTTTTCCTCCACGTCAATGCTTTGCAGAACCTTTATTTTAGCAGCAGATGCTGCAATTTCTGTGTCCAGTTCCATTTGTTCCAGTTTTTGTTCCAGTTCAGCTTTTAGTGTTGCTTGTTGTAATAGCAGTGCATGTTTGCCCTTTAATCCAGCTGCTCTGGCTAGCAGGGCAGCCTTTTCAGCAGACGCTCTTCTACATGCTGAGGAGACTGAAGAGGTTTTTGAGCTCCTTGACTTGTGTGAAACATTAGAGATGCTGTCATGGGGATGAATCTTTGATTGTGCAATTTTTTCTCTTTTCCACACATCCACATCTTTCATACAATATTCAAAATGTGTGATTTTTGGCTCAAACCAGTCCACATGATCCTCCTCTCTCTCTTCCTCTGATAAAAGCTGCTGTACGGATCCATGAACACTGCACAAGTCATTTATATTTTGTTTGAACATTTCCAAAGCTTCATTCACAGGTTCCACATTCCCATCCTCCACAAGCAAGGCCTTCATTTCGTTCATTCTCCTTGTGCATGCTCCTAATTTCCCACTGCGGGAGGCTTTGAGTGATTTTAACAATGTTTCTGCGTCAGAAGAAGTCCTGGGATCGTCCGACATTATTTATTTGTTTGTTTTTAGGCCGTGCGTAAAAGACGTTGCGCTCCTTTAATGAGTCTCACAGAGCACGCCTACTGGCTTCCTTTGTTGCACAAACAAATTGAATCACATTCTTTTCACAGACGATCCACAGGTATTTACAATCCTCCTCCAATGTGTGCATCGCCGTTATGATTTCCTTTTAGACATTAACACGTCCGACATTCCAATCAATGCGTACACGGATGTATTCCCTTTATTTACTTACGACCGGCCCAGTCTGTCCGCTCCTGTGTCTCTTCCTTACGGAGTTTTTCGACTTGATGTAATGGCATCCAAGGTTTCCTTTTGCCACTATAGAGCGGGGTTGACGACACGCAATCCAAGACAATAAGCAGCCGAAGGTTTTCAGTCGAAAAATGTAATTTATTAACAAAAAAGTATTGACTTAAATAGTCTCAAAATAACAAATCTAAATCAATATTTCGGCGATATACTTTCCTATATAAACTATACTTTGCAGTCCAATTTGCAACACTAATCTCTGTTTACAATTTGCGGTCGAAAAACTGTTCCGCTCCCCGTCTCATCAGGTCTCCGAGCACGCCGGCTGTCCTCAATTACCTCACTTAAATACACACCGGAAGGTACAAGGAAACAGATCATATTTACGATATAAAATTAACAATCATTTCCTCAAAACATATTCACCATGGAAATATAAATCATTTTCCATCATTAAATCATTTATCAAATTATGAATCGAAATAATAACTTTGTGGCTCTAACATAGGCCTACATATTAATAAAAAAGTTAAACCAGCTACTGTGCACAATTATGTATATAGTACCTTGTGTTAATATGTTTCTGTTCCTGTATCTGTCTGCCTGTCTGTCTGTCTGTCTGTCTGTCTGTCTGTCTGTCTGTCTGTCTGTCTGTCTGTCTGTCTGTCTGTCTGTCTGTCTGTCTGTCTGTCTGTCTGTCTGTCTGTCTGTGTGTGTGTGTGTGTGTGTGTGTGTGTGTGTGTGTGTGTGTGTGTGTGTGTGTGTGTGTGTGTGTGTGTGTGTGTGTGTGTGTGTGTGTGTGTGTGTGTGGTGTGTGTGTGTGTGTGGTGTGTGTGTGTCTGTCCCTCTGTCTGCCTGCCTGTCTGTCCGCCTGTCCGCCTGTCCGCCTGTCCGCCTGTGTGTCTGTCCGCCTGTCCGTCTGTCTGTCTGCCTGCCGGAGTAAAGGATGGCAGAAGACACTACACTACCCAGAATCCCCAGCTATCATTTGGACTACACCATGTGCTCTGTTTGACGTCACGTGATCTTCAAATTTCTCCCTGCAGAAAAAAAAAACATGGCCGAACTTCGTTTTATTCTCGATGGAAAATGCCTATTTTAAAGTTAGTTTGGCCATTAAAATGCGTTTTGATGTCATTTGATGCGAGAAATATGAGTTGTTATTTCAGATTATGTGTGTAGTGGATGTACATGATCTTTAGTTTGCTAGTTATTACGAAGATTACTTCAGGAAATTGCGTCCATAACGTTTTCATTGTTACCAAGGTGGTTGCTAGGGACGCTGCTATCGATATTATTTCTGTTATGTTGTGTAACTGTTTAATGGTGTTATCTTTATTGCTACCCCCTTCCCCGTCAATGTATAGTGTTGGTCCACAGCGCAAACATATTAGTTTAACAAAATCCGCATCTAAAGATAGCCTACGTTATTTCCCCCTGTGCAATTCCAGTCTTACATCTCACAGCACATCGTCATTAACAAATAACGGAAACAGACCGAAAACATTTAAAAAAAATACAATAATACTTTATTCCGAGTGTGCTTGCTTTTCTCTATGGAAGTCATCACATAACGGCATTGTAATACACGGTTCGGCTGCATTAAATATTACATATCTGCCGTAGTTCTGTATTTATATAGCCCTGATGAGAAGACTTCTAGACAAACATGAGGAACTGAAAACGTGACGTGGATCATAAATATATCAGCCATTAAACAACATCTTACATTTCTTTTCACACAATACGTCTCCTTGCAGTATCAACACTAATTCGGCTGACTTTTATATTTGATCCAATTGGTAGATAGGCTGTATTTACACCATAAAGGTGCACAGCTGATATAAAGGGACACCTAGTGGTTAAAGCATGTTATTGAATTTCATTATTTGTATTATTAGATATTAATAGGATCCCTATAAAGTATATTAATTACTCGTTATTCTCTACTAATAGTTAATTAAAGACTGTATATAATGACTATTTTGCACATCCCTTTCAAGATTTCAAGATTTTCTAAGGTTTATTGACATATCATATAGGCCTACACAACTATGGTGTAGTTATGCATTGAATGAAAAACTTGGGTCGCAGGTTCCTCAATAGTGCATTACAAGACATCTATCAATATTTGTGCGTACCTCCAGCAATGTTAACTATGTTGAAGCACTTATTTTAACTGATATTATACATAATGTATTATACTCTTATAAGATGTATGTAGATATTTCATATCCGACCTTGTCAGGTATTGAACAATCAATAAATAAAGAACACAGAATTGTTGAATATAAAACACAGAATTTGTGTGATTATACTAAATGATTTACAAATAAACACCACTGCGGCACATTTTGCAAATATGGCAGTAGCCATCGATCAGCTTAAGATAACATATACTTTTTTGATCTCAAGTTGGAACATTTGCATTACATCAGCATGTGTAACAGTTGTATAACTGTTTTGCAAAATGTGCCTCTGAACCTTAACAAGTGCATGTTTCAGGCTTATCAATTAATGTAATGTAATGTAATGTTATCAATTAACAACAGGGGTCACAAACATAAGACCAGCTGTTAAATAAAGCTCTTCTGACCTTAGCTGGCATGTGTGTATATATATATATATATATATATTAATGCTGCCCATTATGGGCACAAGCAATTTTCACCCATTTATTAATTATATGTTTTAAATGTGAGTGTTTCCTATCCCCTAAACCTCCAGGGATGTACACAGTT